TCAGCAGGATGGGGATTAAGCACACAAGCCTGAGCATCCACCACTGCCATAGGGAAAGCAGCAGGAGGCTGTGAGCACCTGGCCTGGCCATGCAGATTCCAGAGAAAGTGCGATCTGCAGAGGTCCCCCAGAGAAAGAAAAGTGTGGAGCAGGCATAGCCATAGAAAAGGTCTGAAGGAATAGAATAAACCGCCAAGAAATAAACCCAGGCATATACAATCAAATTAATTTACAACAAAGAAGCCAAGAGTATACAATGGAAAAAAAACTCTCTTCAATAGATGGTGTTAGGAAAACATGACAGGCACATGTAAAAGAATGAAACTGGACCACGATCTTACACCATACACAGAAGTTAACTCAAAATCGATTAAAGACCTATATGTAAGACTTGAAATCGTAAAATTCCTAGAAGAAAATACAGGCTGTAAGCTCCCTGACATCCATTTTGATGATCATTTTTTGGATCTGACACCAAAAGCAAAGGCAACAAAGACGAAAATAAACAAGTTGGGACTACATCAAACTAAAAAGCTTCTGTACAGAAAAGAAAACCATCAACAAAATGAAAAATCAAACTACAAAAGGGAAGAAAATATTTTCAAATCGTACATCTGACAAGGGGTTAATATCCAAAATATATAAAGAACTCATATAATTCAACAGCCTAAAAACCAAATAATAGATTAAAATGAGAACAGAGAATCTGAATAGACATTTTTCCGAAGACATACAGACAGCCAACAGGTGCATCGATGATTGGAGCAAACCAAAACCACAATGAGATAAACTCACACCTATTAGAATTCCTATTATCAAAAAGACAAGAGATAACAAGTGTTGGTGAAAATGTGGAGAAAAGAGAACCCTTGTGCACTGTTAGAATGTAAATTGGTGCAGCTACTATGGAAAACAGTATGGAGGTTCTTCCAAAAATTAAAAATGAAACTACCATATACTCTAGCAATTCCACTTCTTTGTATTTAACAGAAGAAAATGAAAACACTAACTTGAAAATATATATGTACCCACCATGTTCACTGCAGTATTATTTATAGTAGCCAAGACATGGAAGCAATATGTGTCCAATGATGGATAAAGAAAATGTGGTATATCTATACAACAGGATATTATTCAGTCATAAAAAAGGAATAAAATCTTGCCATTTGTGTCAACACGGATGGACCTTGAGGGCAAAATGCTAAGTGAAATAAGTCAGACAGAAAGACAAATACTGTATGACCTCACTTATATGTGGAATCAAAAAGGAAAACAAAAAACAAAACCAAACTCATAGGGACAGAGAACAGATTGGTGGTTGCCAGAGGTGGGTGAAGGGGTGAAAAGGTACAAACTTCCAATTACAAAATAAGTCCTGGGGATGTAATGTACAGACAGGATGGCGACTATAGTTAATACTTTATTGTGTATTTGAAAGTTTCTGAGAGAGTAGATCTTAAAAGCTATTACCACAAGAAAAAAAAAAATGTAACTGCCTTTGGGGATAGATGTTAACTCGACTTATTGTTGTGATCATTTTACAATATGTACAAATATCAAATCATCGTTATAAACCTGAAATTAATATGCAACATGAAATTAATATGCTACATGTCAATGATATCCCAATTTTAAAAAAAGGAGACAATCTACACGTTACTGGAGTCCCAGAAGGATAAAAGAGGGAAAGGGGGCAGAAAGCTATTTTAAAAAATAATGGCTGGGCTTCCCTGGTGGTGCAGTGGTTGAGAGTCCGCCTGCCGATGCAGGGGACATGGGTTCGTGCCCCGGTCCGGGAAGATCCCACATGCCGCGGAGCGGCTGGGCCCGTGAGCCATGGCCGCTGAGCCTGCGCGTCCGGAGCCTGTGCTCCGCAACGGGAGAGGCCACAACAGTGAGAGGCCTGCGCAAAAATAAATAAATAAATAAATAATGGCTGATGGGGGAGAATGGATGCATGTATACGTATGGCTGAGTTGCTTTGCTGTGCACCTGAAGTTATCACAACATTGTTAATCGGCTATACTCCAATATAAAATTTAAAAAAATTTTTTAAATGATAGGGACTTCCCTCGTGGCACAGTGGTTAAGAAACCACCTGCCAATGCAGGAGGACATGGGTTCGAGCCCTGGTCCGGGAAGATCCCACATACCGTGGCACAACTAAGGCCATGAGCCACAACTACCGAGCCTGCGCTCTAGAGCCCGTGAGCCACAGCTACTGAGTGAGCCCTTGTGCCTAGAGCCCGTGCTCCGCAACAAGAGAAGCCACCACAATGAGAACCCCGCGCACGGCAACGAAGAGTAGCCCCCTCTCACCACAGCTAGAGAAAGCCCACGTGCAGCAGTGAAGACCCATCGCAGCCAAAAATTAATCAATTCATTAATTATTTTTTTAAATAATAATAATGGCTGAAAACTTCCAAAATCTGGGGAGAAATTTGGACATCCAAATTCATGAAGCTCTCAAACCCCCAAAAGATTCACCCACAAAGATCTTTTGCAAGACACATTATAATGAAACTGTGTAAAATCAAACACACAGAGAGAATTTTAAAAGGAGCAAAAGAAAAAAAATTTCTCACGTACAAGGGGACACCCATAACGCTATTAGCAGATTTCTCTGCAGAAACCTTACAGGCCAAAAAAGAGTGGGATAATGTATACGTGTAAAGTGCTGAAAGAAAAAACTGCCAACCAACAATACTTACCTGGCAAAGTTGTCCTTCATAAATGAAGGAAAGATTAAAACTTTCCCAGAAATATAAAAGCTTAGGGAGTCATCACCACTAGATCTGCCTTACAAATAGTGTGGAAAGCAGTTTGTCAAAAGAAATGAAAAAACGCTAATTAGTAACATGAAAATGTATTAAAAAATATAAAACCCACTGGTAAAGTATATATTCAAATTTGGAATACTGTAACAGTGTAATACAGTGGTGTGTTAATGAACTCTAGAATAAAGGTCAAAGGGTGAAAATATTTAAAATAATTATAGCTGTAATTTCTAATAGATATACAATATAAAAAGAGATAAATTATAACATCTAAAACATAAAATGTGGGTGGGGAGAGAAAAACGATAGAGTTTTGTATGCAATAGAAGTTATCAGCTTAAACTATATCTCAAAAAATGTTTTATGTAAGCCTCATGGTAACCACAAAGCAGAAATCTATAGTAGATACATAAAATATAAAGAAAAGGGAATCAAGGCATACCACTATAGAAAATCATCAACCACAAAGAAAACAGCAAGAGAGGAAGAAATGAAAAGAAACGACAAAACAGCCAGAAAACAATACAAAGGCATTAGTAAGTCCTTACAAATCAATGATTACTTTAAATGTAAATGGAGAGTGGAAGCTAACGCAACATTATAAAGCAACCATACTCCAATAAAAATTCATTTTAAAAAAAGAAAAGAAATGTAAATGGATTAAATTCTCCAATCAAATGGCACAGAGTGGCTAAATGGATAAAATATGACCCAACTATATGCTGCCTACTGGAGACTCAACTCAGCTTTAAGGCCGCACATAGGCTCATAGTGAAAGAATGGAAAAAGATATTCCATGCAAGTGGAAATCAAAAGAAAGCAGGAATAGCTATGCTTATATCAGTCAAAACAGACTTTAAAGTCAAAAAATTTAACAAGAGACAAAGAAGTTCGCTACATCATGATAAAGGGGTCACTCCATCAAGAGAACGTAACCACTGTAAATGTATGCACCCAATATGACAGCACCTAAACATTTTAAGCAAACACTAACAGATCTAAAGGGAGAAAGCGACAACACTATAATAGTAGGGGACTGCCTTCTGTGTGGTGGGAGAGGAGGCATGCTGGTTGATGGGACTTGTGTCCCAGGCTATATGCTTCCTGACACAGACGTTCTTGTTCCTGAGTGAAAACCTCTGCTCCTCCCCTTGACCTTCAGGCACATTTGGAGCTGGTAAGCAGATGGCACTGCCCTCTCCAAGGCCTGGCAATTGTCACTCTGTATAGTGACTGTATCTGCCTAAATTTGAATAACAGCCCAGTCTGCCAAAATCAGATTAATTTTGCTTTATTCTGCAAAAAGAAGTTTAGAATTCTCTCACCTCTGTCTTCCAAGTTTTGCAGTTTATGTTTGAAGCCAGTACTTTTCACCAATGACTCTTGGGTCACAGTCTTAAAAAAAAAAAAAAGGCCACAAATGCATGTATTCATGTCAAAATAAGAAACACATGGTGCTACATTATCCCTTAAGAAGGAATAAGCTAGTACATTAAGCTAGTACATTAAGCAAATATAATATTAATTCTGGAAAACCAGATGAATAACGAACAATTAAATGGTACAATACCTCAGATACATTTTCTTCAACATCTGAGTGCTCCAAGGAAGAGAGATCGCTCGGTGGGTGGGGACTTTGAAGTTCTGAGTATTAGAGAGAATGAATAGTTTTAAGGGAATAAACACACTGAGAGGCAATTGAGGCAATAACATTTCACTATCAGTCTATAAATTAAATTTCAACATCCACTGCCCTACCCCCTGCAAAAGGACACAGTTCCAAAAAAAAAAAAAAAAAAAACCCAAACCAAAAACCACTTTGTATCTTGCAGGGTATACAGGGGTTACAGGTCTGTAGATAAAATGAATAGCCAGTTACCTACTAGGTCAGCATATTTAGTAGCTGCCCATCTGGCCCCAAATACACAGCAAGGATTCTACCACCTCAACGTGGTCCTTCTCCTTCCTCTCTTAGATGCATTCCCTTACTCCTCTTTCTCTCTGTTATATTTCCCTCTCTCCTGCTATATTTCCCTCTCTCCTATTTTCCTTCCCCTTTTCTCCCAGTGGCAGCCAAACTAAGAGGCTGGCAGTCATGTGCTTGCTAATGCCATTATGTGCCTGCCAATGTGCTATGCTCTAAAATGACAGAGGTGAAGAAAACAAAATCCCTACTCTTACCAATTCAAAACAGATTTGAAGTGTTTTAATAAAATACAATGGGGGCTAAGATAAACCTTACAGGTCAAGGGTTGGCACACTCTGGCCCCTCAGGCCAAATCCAGTCTGCCACCTGGTTTTATAAATAAAGTTTTATAAAAACACAGCCATGCCCATTGGTTTACATCTTGTCTCTGGCTCATTTGGAGGTACAAATGCAGAGCTGAATAGATGCAACAGATACTCTAGGGGCCAAAAAGCAAAAAGTAATTACTCTGGTCCTCTACAGAAAAAGTTTACCAAGCCCTGCAATAAATCATCATTTGAGCTTCTTGTTATTTTTAAAGTGGAAGATTACCAGCAATTCTTATGCACAAGCTGATCTCAAATGTTAAAACAGAATTAAAACAATGTCCTCTGTCTTTTGTTAATGAGGGCATAAAAAAGGAGATCAATCATACTTTCACACTTTCTTCAACAGATATTAAAAGAAATACATTTTGCTTTTTCACACTACCTTTCCCAAAATATAATTTTTTCTACGTAGATTGACAGAAAATCACATACCTATCTTCTGGGCAGAATCTTCAGGAGTTAAAAAGGCAGAACTACTCTGAAATTTCGTTCCAGAAATTTTTGGAGGTGTGACATTATTTTGCCTGGAGGTATCTTTCCGTAATGGTGTTAGAATTTTAGCCTGAAATATAGTATTTTTTATAAAGTGTTAACTTGTTTTGAGTAGTTGTGAATGTTATCAAAACATTCCAAGACACTTCCAACATCCTTTTTAAATGATTAAGTATTGGATATGCTCCATTTGAAAAAACCAGTAAGACCATAAGATCGCAGGGTTGGAAGCACATTAGGTCAGGCATCAATTGATGACTCCAAGTCAAAGTTCTCAAAGTGTGCTCGCAAACCACAGGCTCGGCAACACCTGAGAACTTGACAGAAAAGCAAATTCTCAAGCCCCAATGACAATGTACTCAATCAAAAACTCTGGGGACAGGACCCAGCAATCTGCATTTCCGCAAGCCATCCTGGTCATTCTGAACACTAAAGTCTGAGAACCACTGCTCTAATTCAGGAGTCAGCAAACTACAGCTCACTGTAAATAAAGTTCTTGTAAATATAAGTTTTATTGGAACGCAACACATCCACTCATCTAAGTACTGTCCACGGCTGCCTTCACGCTACAATGGCAGAGTTGAATGGCTGCCACAGAAACCACATGCCCGAAAAGACTGAAATATTTAGTATCTGGCCCTTCACAGAAAACGTTTGCCAAGCCCTGCTTCTAAGTTATTCTCTTAAACTCCAGCACAGAGAAGTGAGTTCTAGATACCAATGTCTGTATAAAGTCAGCAATGCCCTCACTGAAGATCAGCATAGACTTCTTGTCAGTTGCACACCTTAAATTTACGGATTCTCAAAGCTTTCCTGTTTCTTCTTTGGTACCTATTTTTCTAAAAAATTGTATATTGCTAAAAACTGTTCTTTTGGCCTATTTCTAACTGATAACTCCTTATCTCAGGTTGAACTATTCGACAAATATTTAGGTAGTTGCTCTGGCTCACAGGTTTGAGCTATAAACTCTCTCGGTCACCTCAGAACATGAGTGTCCCTTAGCCTCACAGAGGGCAGCACCCCGCGCCCCCAGGCTGATGGCAGAAGGCAGGTCAGCAGGGAGGGCAGATGACGAGCTATTAGGGCACTAACAACATTCTATTTCTGCACAGGTAAGCAGGGTGCTGCTCATGCCCTCAGAATCCCAGCAGCTGCCCTTCGAAAACCCTTAAACACTTTGCACTATATTCTGCAGTTTGTGTGTGTGTGTGTGTGTGTGTGTGTGTGTAGATATACATATATAAAATATATGTACATGTATGTATTATATATGTATGTACATATATTAGATATGTATTATATGCGTGTAATATGCACATATATTTATACATATAAGTATATATAGTTTGTACATATAAAGTATATGTGCACAATTATATATAATACATATCATATATACATTATATATATGTTACATATTTTATATAAAATATCATATATACAGTATATATACACACACTATACTATATATACTATCTAATTTCATTTGACAAAGAACAAAAGCCAACTGCTTAGAGAGGTAATTCAGCTAAAAGCATATAAGTATATATAGTTTATACATATAAAGTATATGTGCACAATTATATATAATACATATCATATATACATGATTATATATATTATGTTACATATTTTATATAAAATATCATATATACAGTATATATATACACACACTATACTATATATACCATCTATCTATCTAATTTCATTTGACAAAGAACAAAAGCCAACTGCTTAGAGAGGTAATTCAGCTAAAAGCATGATAAATTAAGCTCTGAATTGGCCCAGAGGACACTCGTGTCCATGTTCTTACCTACTTTGATATAAAACAAGGATAACTGAGAGGAATTAAGAAACTTTCAGGGCTTATTCAGTATTTGAAATGGCTGAAGGCATTTCAACTGCTTGCAAAATAAAGACTTAAATGTTTAAAACGTTAAAATCTTTGGGAGTAACATGTCAACAAACTGAGAGCTAACGGAAGAATTAAACCAAGAAGTTTATTTTAAAATATAAATTCAAAAAAGCATACATTTGCAGGAAATCAGAAAAGCCCAGATTTCAAGCTTAGTTCATAATAAACATCTTGCAACAAATTTGCAACCAATGAAAAAAGATCTTAAATTTTTATCCAAGATTCATATAAAATGTTTAGAAGTCCTTGAAGTTTCTATTGAAAGTGGTTTACATACTAGTAAACCACTGGTTTATTCTTCTCATATTTCAGAAAGGAGTTTTTTGAGAAATAAAGGTGGTTTAAAGAGATCAGCTTGTTTCAAGCTTACACCATGAGGGCACACGGCAGCCCAGACAAAATTTACTTACTTCATCTTTCTCAAGGTCACTGCCACTACTGAGGGGGAAAAGTGGCAAGGCTAGAATGGAAGGGAATAAGAGTACAGTGGGTAAGTTTACTTATAAGAAATACCCAGATACACACTAGAAGCAATTCCCACTTGCCACAGCTTGCTGAAATGTCTAGCTCTTATGATCTAATTACTCACCTTTGTTCCTCACTACCCGGCATGAATTCTCTGCTCCAGATCCTGTTCTGAATGCTGTTCTCACGTCTTTCTAGTTTTACCTAATTAGAATGCTTCCCCTTCACCACACCTCTTCAAATCCTATTCTCCCAAGCATTAGCTGAGGTCCCACCCAGCTCTTCCTTGAAGCTTTTCCTGATGATTTCAGCTTACGTCAGATTCCTCTTATCTGAACTCCTTACTCCATTTATCCACGGCTCAAATTTAACAAGTATTGGTCAATTCCATATTCTTTCATACCGTTTTACATATGTACATTTTCCCTTTCCCGTCTACCAGGGAAGGAGGACCATGTGATCACATCTCTTTGGCACACGCTGCTCCCATCACGTATTGAAAAATTAATATCTGATAATTTATTTGAAAAGTGACTGGAAAGAAAACACACACCAAACTTACTTTTTTTTTTGCGGTACTTGGGCCTCTCACCGTTGTGGCCTCTCCCGTTGCGGAGCACAGGCTCCGGACACACAGGCTCAGCGGCCATGGCTCACGGGCCCAGCCGCTCCGCGGCATGTGGGATCTTCCCGGACCGGGGCACGAACCCGTGTCCCCTGCATCGGCAGGCGGACTCTCAACCACTGCGCCACCAGGGAAGCCCCAAACTTACTTTTTATGTTACTTCTGGTTCTTATCTTTTTTCTACTAGGATATGACTTTAGGGATTTCCTTTTTTGGTTACTGGTCCAAGACAGTTCACTGGCACTAGTACTTGAATCTTCATTACTCTCCGAGAAGAGGTGTTTCCTATAATTAAACTTTTACAAACACAGGTGATAAATGAGAACTATTAAAAGGACGTTAGTACCATTTATGTGCAATTAAACATATGACTATGAAGTTAGACAAAAGAGAAGTAACTCCTTCTTCTAGAAGACTGGGCTTTCTTACATAATAAAAGGGCACAGGAGTAAGGAGAAGGGAGAAAAAGAGGATGATTATTTCATTAGTCAGTTCTCCACCAAGCGGCTGTAGTAAAAGATGACACAATCCTCTCTAATCAAATACTTGTAGCTTGTAGAGATGGTAGATAACTTTCCAAAAGCTGATGCACCTGATTATTGGGCCAACACTAACTTCAAAACACTAACCCATAGGACTGAGAACCACCACTAAAAGAAAGTCAGAAGGAGCTTTAATTTGTTTGTTTGAAGCCCATGATCTCTTATTTTAGGAAAAAAAATTTCATTTACTGCTCATACAGAGATTTTTTTTTTAACGTACTGACAACAGACTTAAAGCACTCTGCTTCCCAAAGCAAGAACAACAATGGAGAGATGGAAACGGGCACACACAGGAACAAAACCACGTCACCGACTCAGCAAAAAATTTCTTTTCAATTCATTAACACTTCTGATTCTCTTCGGAGTAAATCTCAGCTGCTAGTAGGTCTTTAATATTTCTCTCCTACTTCATAATCTTTTTTTTTTTAACAAAGCAAGAACAGACTTTCGGCTCAAGGCCTAATACAAGGAAAAGTACAATTCAATGTAACTTTGTTATTCTCCGTCATATTTATTTGGGGGCTTACCAACTATTTGTTACAACTAATGCTGACTTTCCATTTCAAAGTGAAATGCTTTATGCATATGGCTGATTCACTTTGGTGTACAACAGAAACTAACAGTATTGTGAAGTAATTATACTCCAATAAAGATTAAAAAATAAAAATATAAGTGAGG